GAATCGAAAGAGGGGCCTGACTGAGTTGCTTAGTTTTGCTGCCTCATCTTACCGGAACGATTTTAGTGGCGTTCAAGAAAAAAAGAGTGGGTAGGCTCTCTCTCTCTCTCTCTCTCTCTAATCCGTTGTTTTTGCGCGAGTTGCTGTTGGCGAAGCAGATCGCTCAAGCGAAAACGATCTCATCTGGTACATCCTCGCTGTTGTAGTAGGTTTTTTAGCTGGTGCTCTTGAAACCGTTCCTTTCAGCTGCTGCTGCCGTGAAGCAAGAGGTTCAGTTACTGCGTTGCTTCCGTGTTTTTTTTTCTCCGCGATATGATTAACCTGCTGCTCTAGCCTTTTTTCAAAAAAAAAAAAGCAACCCTCCGAATGAGGAAGGAACGATGGACGTTTTTATATGCTTTTTATATGCTTTTTATATGGACGTTTTTTTATGGTTTTTATATGCTGTATATATCGAATTTTTGCTCTCGGAAACAATGCCTTTGCGGCCTCCCGTGCTGCATCTCGCCCTGCTACTACTACTTCATATTCCGTCAGCTCCCTCTCTTAATTCATAATTTCTGGCCAACTTTTTAATTAATTATTATTCATTTTGCTCTTTGACTGTGTGAGTGTGTATGTGTGTGTGTGTGTGTATGTGTGTGTATGTGCTTTTAGCCTCTCTTTCAGTTGCAGTTGCATTTTCAGGCAAATTTCTGACATCAAAAAGTTATGCGCCAATGCGCTCGCTCTATCAGAAAGCCCGTTGTGGTACTCGCAGAGCTTGAAACCTTGCTTCGAACAGATTCCCAGTGCAAATGCGCGTATTTGTGCGTTCGTTGATGGTCTCAATCCACTGCGATGCGATGTGCTCACCATTCCGGTGCGATCGGACGAGCGACGTTCGGCGAGCGCGCTGGAAAAGCCATTCACCATCAGCCAGTATGTGCAGACCGACACAACTCTCATACAGGCTTCGGATATGAAGAAACTTGTGGATGAATTGAGGTAAGCGTCCCAGGAGGCCGAGGCCTAGGGATCGGCTGAGGAAAGCGCCAGAGAGAGAGACTGCGCTTGAAGCGATTCCCTTTTTTATGCGTTTTGTGCTGTGTGACAACGTTACAAAACACATATTGTCACCGGGTTGCTGTGTGTGTGTGTGTGTGTGCGTGCGTGTGTGTGTGCGTATGTGTGTGCGTGTGTGTGTGTGTGTATGTCCCCCACATTTTGTCCCGCACTTTCAACTCAGGAACCACAAAAGCTGAAATTTTGGCATAGTGTTCCCCGCCAATGGGTGACGCGGCAGATTTAAATTCAGCCTTCCCGTACCCGCGGGTAACTCGTACGGCTCCGTGAAAGTTTTTTATGAGAAATTAATATCTCAGGAACCACAGAGTCCAGGAGGCTGAAATTCTAGGACATTGGCCCCTTGCCCACGCCCAACCTTGCCTATTCAAATTCAGTCTTCCCGTGCCCGCGGGTAACTCGTACGGCTCCCTGAAAGTTTTTTATGGGAAATTAATATCTCAGGAACCACGGAGTCTAAGAGGTTGAAATTTTGGGGTAATGACCTCCTGCCTACGCCCAACCTTGCCCATTCAAGTTCAGCGTCTCGGCACTCTCGGTTATCACCTACAGGCTAGTAGGAATTTTAGCGGATAAACTATTAACTCGGGGAATCCGGAAAGATATTGACCCTTCAGGGCTTCGAATTCAGCTTTCATGAGCTGGTGCGTAAAATTTTTAACTGTTTTCTAATGTTTGAACTATTTTTGCATAGGCAAAAGTAGAAAGCAGTGAAAATCATTAATAGGCAATCATTCGATGGGCTCAATTGCACAAAACGCATGATCGCACCGGCTAGTCTGGTGCGAGTTGCTATTTGTTTTTTCATTAACACTTTCTTAATGAACTGAAAAGACAAACCACTGTTCTTATAAATTCACACTGTTTACGCTCCGTATCTTTCAACATACAGACTGGACAGCCAACGCGGACATCTCCTAACTATGTGATTAGCTGCTTCTCTCCAGGGAACTGTCGCACTCGTCACTCTGTTAAAGCTTGAAACTC